TGTGTGTGTGTGGGTGGGTGTGTGTGTGGGTGGGTGGGTGTGTGTGTGTGTCTGTGTGTGTGTGTGTGTGTGCGCGCGTGCGTGTGTCTGCGGAAACAACAGTGGGTCTATTAGTTAGTCAGTTAGTTAGTTTGTTTGTTGATTGGTTTGCCTGTGTATGTTTTAAAGAGTCTTACTTCTTTGCCTTACATAGAAAGATTTAACGTTGTGTATTTCTGGGGAAACAAAAGTGGGTGCATTGGAGGAGGGGGGGGAGTTGTCTTTTTTGTGGGGCATTTTTCTTCTTTGGAGTTTGACACTGACAATACAGGTGAATTCGGGTGTTGGTTTATTTGTTTGTATGTTTGTTTGTACTTGTTCATGCCGAGGAGGCCAGAGGTGGTGTGGTGACATAATAATATGGAAACAACAGTTGGTCTATCAGGTATAAAGTACACACAGACATGAAAAAAGCAAAATGTTCCTATCTCTTACTTCCTTCAAACCTCCCAGTCTGCCGTATAGTGAAGTCCTCCATCCCGTCCTGGATGTGAATCACGACCAAGTCCGTCTCCAGAACCCAGAAAAACTGTGGAGGAGATAGCGTTCATTCAGTGTTAACTCGCTACCCTAAAAAAACAAGACAACCCGGGCTTAACCCTATCCGTACGCCCTGTGATCAATTTGTACTCCTGGGGTTGTAGTCTCCACATTTTAGAATACTTCTAGTGCGAAGATCTCTTTGAAACTTCCAATATTTGTCAAATAATCCTTTTGACAGACTGCTATGCAAAACGTACCAATCGGATTAACGAGTAAAATTCCTCTTTGGAAAGCGGTGGCACAGAGCTTCCCACGTTGTATTGATACGATAGTAAAACACGACGTACAAATAGGGTTAAAATATTGGTATTGGTGCAATTGTGTATTTTTGTATGCATATTATGTGTATGTACTTATGTCTGTATGTATTTATGTATGTCTGTATGTTTGCCACTGTAAACCAAATTGCCCACCTGGGATTAATAAAAATGTAATTCTTTTTTTTTTCAAATTGTTATTTTTTTTTAGAATTACATGTTGCCGTCTGTCTTTTTAAAGTTTCAGAGTGGGTGGTTGGCGAGTGTTCTAGTGTGGTTTACTCCATCTTTCGTACCATACTTCTATTAGTCCGTATCTCCCGTCGGCCTTTCATATTTACGTTATTCTCTTGCAACACCTCTAATCTTCGTTACTTATATGACCGTATTGTGTTGCGAGCACCGTAAAACCTTTATTGAAACGAAATGATGTTTCAGACAAAGAAATCCTAGTTACAACTTCTATATGATGAGTTACGAGAGTTATGCTCGTTCATTCAAAGTCCTCCACAAACACAACAGGACTTCTTAGTTTAGTTTTAGTAAGGTTTTGCGGCGCTCGCAACTGCTTAATGTTATGAATGAGCGCCAAGAGGTGGATGTCAACAGAGAATCCAAAACGGAAAATCAGGCTTAAGGTGACAATCCATATATGCGGGACGGCAGCGGCAGCGGTACGGCAGCGGGACGATAAAAATCGCTCCAACAGAAATATCAATGTCTGAATCCATAAGTGCGGGACGGCAGCGGACGATAAAAATCGCACCTAGGAGCGATTCTGCCGCTGCCGCAGCTCTGCCGCAGACAAAAATATGAATGTTGCGGAATAGGGTTGACAGTGAAGAATCTCTGTGTGATGCAGTCAATTCATTTGGCACGGAAAACTTGCTGAAACCATTGCACTTCATGTCGTCGTTCATCCACCCATTTTCTTGATATGCCCAAATGGTGCCTTCTGGGCTGTCCTGAATGGCTAAGGAATGGATGGACCTGTTCGTTATGCTAGTGACAAAAGATCAAGATAATTGCAACTTTACAATACTGGCGAAGTTACCCGTCGGCAGTGGCGAATTTACCCGACAATTGGTAACCTTCGTAAAATGTATTTATTTAATTAAATTGATTGAAATAACAAATAAATACCTCTACATAGAGATAATAAAGCAGTTAAATTAATGGAATCAATGCAAGAACATAGAAAATATGGATGATAATTAAGTCAATAAAAATGATGATAATAATAATAATAAGAATAAGAATAATAAGATGATAAGTCAATAAGTCAATAAGAATTAAATGCAGAGATGTGTAGGCTCTATGAAGAAGATTCATAGAAAGAGGCGCACATTTCGTTCCGCTGCCGCACATATGGATTTAATGTGACTTGCGGTGCCGCACATTTCGTCCCGCTGCCGTTCCGCTGCCGCTGCCGTCCCGCACATATGGATTGTCACCTTTACTCTGCTCACCTCTCTAGCCTAAACAGCACAAAGTCTGCTTCTACTATCAAGGCACCCCGGAAATAACAGTTCACAAGAGAGTGACAAACATGCAGCACGACTTCAATACGTGAAAAGGCCTACGTCTAAGGAGGACATTTTACAGTGTTCACGTTCCCAAACTCTGGAAGGGAAGCAGCAGCAGTTATTTGATTAGTCGACTCGTCCTCGCTGAGTGCTACTGTTTTCTTATGCGACGTTTTATTCGATCAAAAGTTGGAGGGCAGTTTAAAAACCACAAAATATTTTTTAAAAGCCATCCAAACTTTGGATTTAGTATATCTGAACAGCAGGCTCATGAAATAAACTTATAGAAAGTAACCTGAGATTACCTTCATTTCTGTGTACATTACAATCTAGTAACGCTTCAGAACTTTTGTGGCGTCGGTAGCGTAGTGGGTAGGCTCATACTCATAAGATTGTGGGTTCCGGGTTTGAGCCTCAGTTAAGTCCGACGTTGTGAACTTGGGGAACGCAGTTTACCACGAATTGCCTAAAAGGGTTAGCTTTCTTTCAGAGACGGATACTAAACTCGGAGATCCCACCTCTTTAAATAACCTAAGTGTGTTGATAGGGGCGTTAAACCTATACCAGTGGGTGGTTGGAGGGTGCTTTTTTACTTTGGTAAGTATTTTACGGCACTCGCAACTGCATAAGGTCATATTAGCGCGCGGGACACATTACACTTTTTCAGTTGCTAGGGAATTTTGAATTTTTGCCCTGGTGGCCGCCGCAGCCTACTCTTATCGATTTGAGACCACCGTGGGATCTTTAACGTGCGCAACTTGCACACGGGCCCTCTGAGATTTTTCGCCCTTGTCCGAGAAGGCCAGGTGTAGATTTGTCTACCAGAAGATCAAGGGTGTGTCTGAAAGACAGCAGTAAGAAGGGGCCAAGGAGTAGGAGTAGAAAGGGGGTGATGGGTGGAGCAGAAAGAGGAGACGAAATCAGACGGCAGAACATTGCTAGAGAGCAAGAGAGGAGGTCAAAGGAATCAATTTTAGAAAAGAAAATTGTGTTACAACGTTTTGGAATCAGGCACTCGTCAATATTTTGGTGAGTTGTTGGTTCAACTTAATGGTAGTTCATCCTCCTTGCGTTTAATAAAAAAAATATCCAATTTATCTTGAATAGAAATCGAGATATTTGCGATTGAAGGAGGTGGGGTCGCCTGGTTTCAGAAGTAAAATTAGCGAGAAAATGGCCACCGAAGTTTAGTGACTTTTATAACTCTAGGGTCCTTGAAAACTGCAAATTTACATTGTTCGTGCCATTTATCAACGGTTTTCCAAAAATTCCTCCCAAAAGAATGTTTCTTTGAATGAACGTACAAGGTGTTGATAAAAAAAAATTCAAAAGGAAACTTCCAAACTGGCTGAAAAATGCCGATTTCTTTGGTTCCATTATTTTCACGAGGGCCTGATTTCACCACGATGCCTCACAATTTTTCGGTCTCTACACGATTTCGAACCCGGGACCGTTGAAAAAGAGGCCAACACCTTAACCTCTAGGCCACGAGAGTTCACTACGGGTGCTCTGGCGCGATTTGCTCCTTTTTTCCTATTAATGAACTATCGTCTTTATCTCTCCTCCTTTTTAATGTTTGTTATTCTCTTGCAACACCTCTAATCTTCGGCACTTATATGATCTTATTGTTTTGCAAGTGCCGTAAAACTCTTACTAAAACTAAAAACCTACACCATATTATTATTATAACCTTTTTTCTCTAATATTCTGCATTTTTTAACCAATTGTGCCGAACGTACAACTCTTACTAGAGCAAACACGTAGCCTAGAGGTTAAGGTGTTCGCCTTTCATTCAATAGGTCTCGGGTTCGAATCCGGACAGCAACAGAAGTTTTTCTTCTTTAAAATTGTCTTCTTTAACATCCTTTCCTGCTCTAGCAATGTTCTGTAGTCCCCCTCACCTCTTTTGCCCCCCTCCTCTGGGCTCCTGACTCTTCCTGTATCCTTTCTACTGCTAGTCCTCGGTTCCTTCTTACTGCTGTCTTTCAACCACACCCCTGATCTTCTGATAGGAAAGATCTACACTTAACCTTCTCGCTCAGGGAGGTCCCGTGTGCAAGTTGCGCACGTTAAATATGCCTCGGTGTTCCAAAATTGATAAGAGTAGTCTTCTGCCAGTCACCCGGGCAAAATTCAAAATTTTCTACAAACTAAAAATGTTTAGTGTATCCTATGCGCTCATGATGACCTTACGCAGTTGCGAGCGCCGTAAAACACGTACAAAAACCCTTTACTTTACTTTTACATTTATCTGCCGCTTAAACCCTTTTGAGAGTTGCGGGAAGAAAGAGACGTCTCTCTGCCACCAGCCGGAGAGCTTGGATCAGGTGGATGCCATGAGTTGTTGACTCCATCTATCCAGGTTCGGTCGCCCTCTAGCCTTGTTGCCTTTGATTTTTTTTTTATGTAGACACGCTGTGCTGCATGGTGTGTTGGTAATCGCATGAGATGTCTGAACCATTTCATTCCTTGGTGTTGGATGTGATGCATGACTTGTGCCTACCATTTCTCTGAATCCTGAGTTTCTAATTTTGTCTCGCCTTGTCCTGTTTACTGCTTTTCTAAGACATAGCATTTCACAACAACAACCCCCCCCCAAAAAAAAAAACAACAACAACAAAAAAACAACAACAACAACAACAAAACTTCTACATGTCTACTACCTGTAGGCTTGCGCCAGGGAAGTTAGCGGCGCAACAAACAACTGTCTGGTTCTTGGTCTGGTCCAGGGTCAGCACACCGTTCTCGCCGCCGTCGATCTGAACGAACGGGGACCCTACAGCAGGCAAAGGAAGGCAAAATAATGGTTAATACTGGTGGTATCATCATTCAGTTTAGTTTTAGTAGGGTTTTAAGGCGTTGCAACTGCATAAGGTCATATGAGGGGCAAGGAGCTTTTAGTTTTAGTAAGGTTTATATGGCGCTCGCAATTGTATAAAGTCATATGAACGCCAAGGGGTTGATGCCAACAGGGAGGTCCAAACGGGGAATCAGGCTTACTCTGCTCACCTCTCTAGCTTCAACAGCACAAAGACTGCTTCAGCTATCATGGCACCCCGGAAATAGCAGTTCACGAGAGAGTGACAAACATAAAAAAGAAGTAGTGGAAAAAATGGTGATAGTAAGGATGAGGAAAAAAAACCCAGCAGTTCCCCTATGTTGTTCTTACACAGTATGATCGTGGCAGTGATAAATCAGCTCATTTACAATTCTACTGTGCATAAAAGCATGTTGATATCCCCCATTCGAAAATGGTCTAAAGACAGCTTAAGTCAGTAGCACTGTCATGGTGGGGAAGGGGGGGGGGCGGGGGGGGGGGGGAGAGGGAGAGTAATGTCATTGTTACGAAATGTAATACTGAACTGTTGGAAAGAGCTGAAGATATTAAAACGACCATAGAAAGGAGACAATGGAAATATTAGGACATGTTTTAAGAATATCGTTCTCTGCGCCGTCGATCTGAACGTACGGAGACCCAACTGCAGGAAGAGGAGGCCAGAATAAAAGTCAGTACTGGTGGTATTATTGTTGTTACAATATGGAACGCTACATCTTCCCCATATTCCTGTATGGTGCGGAGACCTGGACTTTGACAAGGAAAGAAGAAAACAAAATAAATGCGTTTGAGATGTGGTGCTACCGTAGAATGGCCAGAATAAGCTGAAAAAGACAAATAAAGAGGTGTGTCAGATTTTTACACACAAGACAAACCCTGCCGAACAAAATAAATGTAGAAAAATTCAATACTATTGCCACTTAAAAAGACACGAGATCATTGTGAAAGGGGTGCTTGAAGGAACGGTGTGGCGCAGGGGAGCCAGAGGAAGGCAAAGAATAACATAGATGGACAACATAAGAACATGGACTGGACTGTATAATATGGCAGAATGTACAACAGCAGCTCGCGGCCGTGAAGGATGGAGAATCATTACATGTCAACCTCTGAGTCAGAGATGACACCTCGGGATCCAGGATTATGTAATAATGAACTGAGAAAAGAGCTGGATTTGAAGGTATCAAAACGACCATAGAAATGAGACGATGGAGATAATTTATTTAGGACATGTTTTAAGAAGGTCGGAAACAAGATTGCACTATCAAATTATGGTATTGGAGACCATCTGGAGAGAGAAGATGAGGTAGACCAACTGGAAGCTACATAAGTACAATCAGGGATAAAACAATCACCTAGGGCCTGGATGTGCCCAAATTGGAGAAGATGGCGGGGACAGGCAAGCGTGGCGTCGAAAGCTCTCCGCCTTGTGTAACTGATGGTAGAGAGTGAGAGAGAGAGAGAGGGAGAGAGAGAGAGAGAGAGAGAGAGAGAGAGAGAGAGAGCAATACTGATAACAACAAGAACAAGAACAACAACACCAACATCAACAGCAACAGCAGCAATAACAACAACAACAACAACAACAACAACAACAACAACAACAACAACAACGACAAGCTACGGAGGTCCAGCGGTTGCATCTCTTTGGGGGAGGATTCAGGGAGGTTGGACTGCCTCACTCGCTACCCAAGAGAGGCGGTGGCCCTTTCGAAGAGCACGCTCTTCGGGGCTCCAAACAGTTTGTAGGGATAGGTTTCCACACCCACCGATACACACCACCTCCACCACCACCATCAACAACGCCATAGTAGTAATAAAAACACTAATAACAACAACAACAACAACAACAACAACAACAACAACAACAACAACAACAATGACTCTCCCTCTGTCAATTATTTTGCTTGAAAACTATTTCTACCCCCCCCCCCCTCAATCCATCAAAAAAACCCAAACCCGACTCACCCCGCAGCGTGAAGGTGAAGGATTCGTTCCCTAGCCAGTTGGCCACAGTGCACGTGTACTGGCCCAGGTCAGAGAGCTGGAGATGGTCAATGTACATCTGGGTCTCCCACTCGTCCATGTTCACATGGAAGCTGGCCCACAGGAAGTCGTATTTTAGTTTAGGTTTAGTCAGTTTTACAGCGCTTGCAACACAATTAGGTCAAATAAGTGTCGAAGATTAGAGGTGATACAAGAGAGTAACAAAAACAAAAAGAAGGAGGAGAGCAGATTAGGACGATAGGTGTTTGATGGGAAAGAAGGAAGAGAGAAAAGGACGTTAGATGTTTAGTAGGAAATAAGGGGGAGAGATAAAGACGACTGATATTTGATAGGAAAGAAGGATGAGAGATAAGGATGATAGATGGTTTGTAGGAAAGATGAAGGGGAGATAAGGACGATAAATGTTTGATAGGAAAGAAAGGAGCAAACCACACCAGAGCACCCACTAACTATCACTAACAGAACGTCAAACCTCATATTGTTATCGAAATAAGAACAAATAAAAACAATAAAACATTACATCATATCAAAAGTTATTATGATCCTGCTGTCTGGTTATTTCATTGCAGTTCGTGACAATTCCATTGTGAATCATTACCATTTCATTGTTTAAAAAAACCCAAAAAACAAACTATTTCATCACAGTTTCTAAAGATATAAATTATATTTCATTTTATTTTTACCTTATCATCGTCATTTATTGCCATTGATTTGCATTAACCTTATGATCGTGTAATTTATTGCCATTTCATGTTATTTTTTACCTTATCGTGTTATTTATTGCCATTCCATTGCATTTTTGACCATATCGTCGTAATTCATTACCATCTCATTGCGTTTTTATCCATACATGTTTATCGTATTTTGTTATCGTTTCATTCATCATGCGATCGTAATTTGTTACTTTTCCATCACAGAACAGTCCTTTGGCTTTAGGTTTTAAAATGATATCTCCAAATGTTTTCAGGGAGTTCCCGTGGCCTGGAGATTATGGTGTTCACCTTTCATTCAAACGTTACGGGTTCGAAGCCGGATAGCGACGGCAAATTTTCTTCTCTAAAATTGTCTCCTTTCATTCCTTTCTGGCTCCCTATAAATGTTCTGTCGTCTGCTCTCGTCTCTACTTTCTGTCCCCACCTTCACACTTCCTTTGCCCCCTTCTCTGGGCTCCGGACTCTTTCTGCAGTCTTTCTATCGCTTCTCCTTGGCTCCTTCTGACTGCTGTCTTTCAGCCACACCCCTGATCTTCTGGTAGATAAGATCTGACAGCTAGCCTTCGCAGCTTCGCGGTCAAGGGCGAAAAATCTATTTGGTCACGTGTGCAATTTGCGCTCGATAAAGATCCCTTGGTGGTCTAAAATCGATAAGAGTCGGCTTTGGACGCCACCCGGGCAAAATTCTAAATTTCGTACGAACTGAAAATGTTTATTGTGTCCCGCGCGCTCATATGACCTTTTGCAGGTGCAAGCGCCGTAAAACATTTACCGAAAAAAATGCACTTACGTCTTTATCTGGGCATCATTCAGCTGGCCGTTGGGCCCGTACCACTTGACCAGTGTGTGCCTGGGGTTGGTGAAGAAAGGGCATCTCAGGGAGGTCAGGAGGCCGATGACACCATGGACGGTAGGTGTGAGGTCGTCACGTTTGATGATCGGCCTGCCTGCAGGTGGATGGCGCTATGGTGTTCGTGTTGTTTTATTAACAAAGAAACAATTATACTACCACTACTACCACTACTACCACTACTACCACTACTACCACTACTACCACCACTACTACCACCACTACTACCACTACTACCACTACTACCACTACTACCACTACCACTACCACTACCACTACCACTACCACTACCACTACCACTACCACTACCACTACTACCACTACTACCACTACTACCACTACTACCACTACTACCACTACTACCACTACCACTACCACTACCACCACTACCACTACTGCCACTACTGCCACTACTACCACTACCACTACTACCACTACCACCACTACTAACACTACTAACACTACCACTACTACCACTACTACCACTACTACCACTACTACCACTACTACCACTGCCACTACTGCCACTACTGCTACTACTGCCACTACTGCCACTACTGCCACTACTGCCACTACTACCACTACTACCACTACTACCACTACTACCTCTACCACTACCTCTACCACTACCACTACCACTACCACTACCACTACCACTACCACCACTACCACTACCACCACTACCACTACCACTACCACTACCACTACCACCACCACCACTACCACTACCACTACTACTACTACTACTACTAATATTGTTATTATTATTACTGTTACTTTTGCTATTATTGCTATTAATATTATCATTATTATTACTATAATAATAATATAAACAATAACAACAACAATAATAATAATGTAAGTATCATTATTTCTTTATTAATAAAATAAATTATTTGATGATGATAATGATAAAATAATAAATAATATAATAAATTACACTTTTATTGATCCCAGAAGGGCGATGATGAAGATGATGATGATGATGGTAATGATGATGATCATCATCATTATTTTTATCGTTATTACTTAACTGACATTATTATTATCATTATGCATGGTGATGATGATAATGATGACGATAATCATATTATAATGGAGCGTGGCCCAAAACATTTAGAACGTATAGACTCCTAAACCGCAAAAGTGACAATTGTGAAAGTTTCTATGCTGATGTAAATTTAGGTGAGGATTTGCATGGGATAGTTAATTTGTTTTTGTTTTTAAACCTGCCGTTTTGTAGCAAATAACCAAAAACTGAAAAATGATTAATTCAAAGAAACCGAATAAAACTGTTCACCTTTGTTCCGACAGCTTGTTATTGCCAGTTGGATTGGTAAAGTAAGGTTAGATCTTCCTCTATCAGGATCGTAAAATAATTTAATGATATCTTAAGTAAGTCAGGATCATATTTTGCTTCGGTAGATCTTTTGCTTAGATGATGTATCTAGATCTAATATCTCAACCACTTGACCGCGAGGCGGACGAATTCGGCTGCTCAATACCTTAGTAATCGAGTAAAGTAAGGCTAGATCTAAATCTACCTCTATCAGGATCATTGAATCTTTTTTTTTTTAATCGAATATCTTAAGTAAAGTAAGTTTATTTTATTTATTATTAAAATCATAAATAATTCTCTAGTGTATGGATTAGTGCCAGATTTGTTTAAAATCGCTCTTGTAAAACCTTAGCTAAAGAAACAAAACTTAGATCAGAATGTCTTAAAGAACTGTAGACCTGTTTCAAATCTACCTTTTTTGTCTAAAATCCTTGAAAAGATTGTCATCGAGCAGCTTCGTCATCTTTTACAAGAGAACAGTCTGTTAGAGCCATTCCTGTCTGCCTATTGAGGTAACCACAGCACAGAAACAGCATTTCTTAAAGTCATGAATGACATGCTTACCGACTGTGATTCAGGAAAGGTTGTTTTGCTGAGCCTTTTAGATCTATCAGCAGCTTTTGATACAATGGACCATCATATTTTATTGAAGTGATTGGAAGTGCCTTTTGAATTAATCGGGACTGCCCTTAGCTGGTTTTCTTCTTACATGTAAAATCGTTACCAATCTGTTTTTATCAAAGGGCTTAAGTCATCAGATCATGCTCTTAAGTATGGGGTCCCCCAGGGCTCAATCTTTGGTCCAGTTTTGTTCCCCATTTATACTCAACCACTTGTCAAGGAAATAGTTAAGAATGACTTAAAATACCTTTTCTATGCTGATGATACCCAAATTTATGGTTCAACATTGTTTATCAACTTAGATGAACTTGTCAATCGTGCTGAAAATTGTATTGCGTTAGTGAAGAACTGGATGAACAAAAATAAATTGAGGTTGAATGATAATAAAACAGAAGTCATTCTGGCAGGCAATGGAAAGTCTGTTAAAGAGGTTGACCACGATCACATTACAATTGGTGATGCTAAAATTGTATTTTCAAGAAAAGTTAAGAATCTTGGCATCTATTTTGATTCCAGTTTGTCAATATCGGCTGAGGTAAATCATCTGATCAGCTGCATGTATTTAGAAATAAGAAAAATTCGTAAAATACGTCATCTGATCAATACTAAATATACTGCTTTACTAGTAACTAGCTTAATTTTATCAAAACTCGATTATTGTAACTCCTTGTTATCAGGAATATCACTGGAGAAAGTTAAAAGACTTCAAACTGTCCAAAACAAGGTTTGCATTGGCTTCCTCTTGAGAAAAGGATTGTGTACAAGTTGGCCATCCTATGTCACAAATGTTTGAATGATAAAGCACCATCATATTTATCAAATCTGTTAAGACTGTACATTCCAACTCGCAGTTTAAGGTCATCAGCTGACAAAAAGAAATTTATTTTACCATCTATGAAACTTAAAACAATGGGTGAAAGGGCTTTTGAATACCAAGGCCCCAAGATCTGAAATGCTTTACCAAGTACTTTAAGAGAGATCAAATCTTTTGATTCATTCAAATGTCAGCTGAAGTCGTTTCTGTTTTTAGATTAATAAGATGAATATTAGGAATAATTTTCTTTAGTCAGAACACAACGTTTTATGTTACTGTTGTATGTTGCACTGTATTGTAAAGCTCTCAGAGCCTGTGTACTTTATTCGGAGTTGACCGCTATATAAATGTCATTTATTATTATTATTATTGTTATTATTAAGTCAAACGTATTTTCACCATATTTTCATTCTGTATAATTATCTTATTCTTAGATGATAGATCTAGGCAGATCTAGGCTAGATCTAATATCTCAACAACTTGACTGCGAGGCGGACGAATTCGGCCGCTCAATACCTTAGTCAGTTATCGAACCCCGTAAAACCTGTCCAAGTCTTTTGAAATGTTCTAATGTCTGAGAATGACACCGAAAAAGCCCGGACTCACACCAAAACGAAAGAGAACTCATTTTGGGGAACAAGAACCAAGAAACAGGTAGATCTATATATATATAGGTCTACATCTAAATCAGAAGGTGAAGCGTCCAGTACGAAAACAACCACCGTATGGCTCAGCCCGAGCAGTCGATACTAAAGATTTTAATAAGCAGTAGGTTCCAGCCCAACTGCTGAAGCACTCATGTGGTGATTTCAACATTATATGTAGCCACTGCAAGGCACTGCGCTGGCCATCTGAACGGCAGTCTTTCTGATGTCAAACTGTAAAGGTGCATCTAGAACAACCTCCACCACCTCCTGCAATTGCCAGAGGAAAATGGATTACATACCGAGCATACAGACGATTCTGTCTACTCTGAAGTTTTGGCCTAATGGGTGAAGTGAGTCAGATCTGTTTTTCTCCTTTAATTTCTTAGTCTTCTGTCTTTTACCTCATGCTTCTTCCAACATTTCTCTGTGACTGGTTTAGGATTGTTTTCTAATTCTCGTTCGTTATTATTATTATTATTAATATTATTATTATTATTATTATTATTATTATTATTATTATTATTATTATTATTATCAATATCATTATAATCATTCTTATAGATCGGGACAAACCTCCACCGCATGACAACTATCCTGTGTTTAACAAGATTGAGATGGCTGGGCCATGTTAAGAGAATGGACGGCAACCGGAGTTCCAAACGATTTCTCTGTGGAGCACTTGCCCGGGGAAAGAGGCAAAGAGGAAGGTCAACATTAAGATAGAAAGACACCTACAAAAACAGCTTATCTAAGTTTGGAGTAGATGTTAGCATCTGGGAAGAAATAGCTGAGAACAGGAAAACATGGAGGAAAATGATAAAAGAAAGAACTATACAAGAGATCTAAAGTTCAAAAGCAGAATCAGAAGCCACCAGGCTGAGAAACGCCAACTATAAAAGGAAAACAGCGGAAATACAGAGCTTCCATCCACGTCTCTGACATAATAGGCTGCGACAGCATCTGCGCTTCAAACGTAGAAAGAATTAGGCGTGAAAGAAGCTGCATGAAGACAACCATGAGACCATCTTAAGCTAAATTGACTGTCTGCATAGACGAAAAGAGCCATAATATATTACTATTATTATTATTATTATTATTAT